ATATATATATAGATAGATATATACATATATATAATTAATTATGTATATACTTATATGTATATATCTCTATATATAGTCTCAAAAATGTTTAAGTTCCTCTGTCCAACTGGTGCAAATCTACTGTGCAAGTTAAGCTTTGCAACTTCAAAAAAGTTATTTAAATTAATCTATACAATTGAGTCCATGCCACACAAGCATTTCAAAAAACTCACAGACCAGTGAATTGGATAAATAGTCTCAGAAAGAAGTCCTCTGCAGTTCCTGCTTAAGGAGGAAAAAAAAAGGAACTAAAAAGAAACAAAGAGAAAGAAGGGCCAGAGGTGTACAGTACATTCATGCAGGAGGCTTTTTTTTGTTTTGATTTTCTGTAATGGAACAAGGGGGGTATGTAAATCAGCCATTCATTCTTTCCCCAAAACCACTGTGATCAACAATTCATTCACTTGTCTCAGAGTGAATAAGAGTTCAAACAGCTTTTCAGCCAGCAATGTTTTTAATAGATATATTTATATATTTCGGTTGCTGTTTTTTTTTTGTTGTTTTGTTTTGTTTTGTTTTGTTTTCAGTGACCTTTTCAGCTAAAGTGATGTCTCCAGGCTATGTATTGGGCTTCCTGGACTAGAAGAGGTAGCTGATTTACTTGTATCAGTTGTAAGATTTATTCCACTGTCGATAGCACTGTTGTTCTTGTTCAGTGAAGACGGTGGACTTGAGTTTTTCTTGAGAGCAGGGTCTTCTTCTAGGTCTGTGTCATCAATGAGTGGGATGTGGGGCTGGGAATCTTCTATCCTAAATTCAGGATGAGTCATAAAGTTGTGAATAGAGGTTCTAGATTCTGGTTTTTCTAAACCTTCATAGAGAGAGCTACGGAATGCCTTCACGACGCGGATCTGGGGGGAGAAAAGGAAAGAGGTGTCAGAGGTAGCACCCTGAAGGGCAACACTTTGTTAGAGAATACTTTGTGAAAAATGTAGCATATGGTTAGGGCAGTGCAGGCAGCTGAAGTCCATAGTCTCTGGATGTTATATGCATAAACGAGTGGTCAGTTATGTGCATTTTGAATATCTGTATCAACTGCAATATCAAAATAAATAAAGTTTAAAGCCATCAAAGAACTGATGGGAAGTACTGTTTAAAGAAAGCGAACGTCCACTCGTGTGGTACATCCCTAGTAAAAGACAAGCCATGTTAATTGAAATGCAAATGTAAAACCATGCATGTTGATAGTTTTGTAGTGAGTAGAAAGGCTTTTTTAATTAAAAAAGTCTCTTTTGTGTTGTTAAAAAACCATTACACATAACATATCACACTTCACAAACAGAAAAGCACAGAACACAGACACAGTTGGATGGGTATGTATGAGACACACACAAGAGCCAAGTGTTAAAACTATAATATCAAAGTTTTAAAGCAAAATCTAAATGAATGCAGCCAACAGCACAAACAGCCAAGCAGACAAAGTACTAAGCATAATCATGCCATCACAGGGGAAAAAAAAATTCACAGTTACCACATGAACAGAGATAACTTGCACACAACAACTACACTTGGAAGCCTGGATAATGTGAATATAGTATTGTTGAACCAACTTTTATTTTTCCTTCATGCATATGTGAGGTAAACACTCGAGTATAGACCCACTGTTCTAGCCATTTAACTTTTTAAAATATATAAAACATGTAATAAAATAATGTATTGATTGTTGGGTTGAATTGAATTACATTGTTAAACAGCAAGATTTTCCATTTTCTGTGTCTCTGTAAAACTGTAAAATTAAATGCTGAAAGTGACACAATTTATGCCATATATGCAGTCTTTAAACTAGGTCAGCTGACTTATGCCAGGGTCAAGCTAATGTCATGAACCACCTGACAGTAAGAACACAGGTGAAAATAAACTACAAGACTCAGCCCATTAGACTGTCAGGGACAGTGCAAATTGCTTTCCCAGTAGGAAACGAGAGGAACAGAGTGAGGAGCATTGTGGAGTGGAGACACTAAGTCTTCTGTGGGTGGGCAAAGGGAGGGATGCTGTCTATATCCCAGTGACCTACCAGTTCTGAAAAGAAGTTAAGGTTTGTGCTGGTTTACTGCTTTTTGGAAGGGACTGGGGGGGCAGAGCGGAAAAAACAGAATGGCAAAATGTGATCTTTTGGCAAATGTTTTATGACTGAGTTCTATCCTCCTACTTCCATGTAGTCCATGAGCGAATTTTCAGCATTTCTTAGAGGGGAGACCAGAACACAGGCAGAGGCAGGAAAGGTGCAAGCAGGCATTGTGAAAGCTTCTCCACGCACATTTGAAATGATTTGGTGGTTGGCATGTGTATCTTTTTACATGTAAATATGCTGCACATTATTGGTTGGCGTAATACACCACTAATTTGTAAAGCTTTAATTCTTTTAAGTGGAAGATTGCATTTTAGTAATGGCACGGGGTCACAGTGTGGGATCTAGCTGATCCTGTGGTTGGAGCTGTCCAAGTTGTACAAAATTTCAGCACATTTGAGAAAGTAGCTGACTCATATTTTGATCTCTTTGTCCTTGTTTATGTTCTCTAAATTTGGGTATTCATCACTTTTCAAAAGTCCTAATAGCAGCAGTCATGCCATCTTCAGATACATGGCCTACTCTCTCTTCTCTTCATACACACATTTGATAACAACAGGGCACAGTACAAAAAAAAGTAGTTCATGTGACTGCTTATGCTGAAAATAAGTGGACTGAAGTGGTACAGAATACTTGTCCAGATTTGAGATACTAGAAGATTTTAGAAGGTTGGCAGAAGTGCAAGACAAGAGGAAGAGAAGAAGAATAAATTTTACACACTACAATCATATAGTGTAACTAACCCCTCTTTGACAGAGTACTTGGAATTATAAACCAAGGTTTTATGAAAGCTGAATCTCTGAGTTGTCCTGTGCTATGTGATGGTTCTGTACAGTGAACAAACAGACTGAAATCAGAAATTCATTTGTATTACTAAAGATAGGATTTGAACTCATGGAGAAGAGGTGACATACTAATTCTATCATTATCTATGCCTTTCTATCTTGTACTTTAAAGCACAAAGTAATTAGTCTAAACAATGAAAAAAATATGTTTTGTCAAGGCAATCTTAAAAACTCGTTACTATATTGTCCTATTTTAAATCCGGAAGCTTTTTGTAACATGCTTACTTTATATATGGGCTGATATGGTGACATTTTCTGCAAAGCTACCTATTTTTCTGCTATCTAAAAATAACAGTAATCTCATTCAGTTGCAGCTGTTTGCTTTATCTTATCAACTAAAATTTCATTCTCCTGAACACAGCCACTTCTTATTGCATAGATTTAGGTTGTATTTACCAGCCGAATTCTTTTTAATAAATGTAAATTTTTACTTAAATTAAAAGGTTTGCAACCTGATACTATGCTTGGACAGATCCAGCAAAATCCAATGAAAGTAAAGCTCTTCTTCAGGTGGCAAACACTGTATTTAAGTCTCTACAGGTTAGCAAGGGAGGAACCGATT